GACTAGTACTAGAGATTTACTAAATGCAGTGAAAGGCGAAGAAAAAAATAACTCCTGCTCTCACTACCAGATGCTTCCAGTTTTTTTTTTTTTTTTTTTTTTTTCTTTTTTTTTTTTTTGTAAAAGAGACAAATGTGCACTATATAGGATTAACCTACAAAGGTATTATCACTATTTTTGTTTTTTTCTTAATATTTAATTAGAGCTAGCATTTATTAGAACTGCCAAAAGCCTGAAATTTGCATTTATTTATTATTGGGAAAGCTGCTTACTGACTGGGATGACCTGTATTTATCTGAAGTTGCATTTATAATTGTGTTACCCCTTCTCCCTAGATGCATGAGAGATGTACTTAATTATCATTGATTCCTTGTCTCAAAGGACTGAGAATTCCGATCAAAGCTTAAGTGTATAATGTGGCATAAAAGCAATGTTTTTGCATTTCCAATCTTCCTAATAAAATGGTTTTAGAGAAAAGCATCTTTCCATGACCCTTGGGAATAAAGCTTGTGATTTGCTGATGTTGGACAAGGTTGAAGTTTCACTTTTGTTATGTTTTTATCTTTTTGGCATATGATTAAATGTCACCTCAGATCAAGGGAATTCTCCCCCCACCCCCCAACATTATAAAGTTCTTAGAGGGCTTGAAAAGTACATTGTAAAATAGAATTTGGAGGTGAAGGGAGAGGAAAAAAAAAAGAGCATCAGATCTGAAAATTTGTGCAGCTATTTCAGTTTGCCTATAGAGTAATTTAGTGAAGTTGATTATTTTTTTTTCAGCTAATGTTAAGGTAGCAGAGAGATGCTGAGGTGACTGATTATTTCAAGGAGAAAAACGCTTAATGATTATAAATACACAGCTAGAATGAGAGTTTACACAACCCTAACCATACAGATTAATCTAACTGACCTCTAATACTAATACAAGAAGGTATTATAAGGATCTCTTTCAGAATATCTGCTAAAACATTTTTTTTCTTATTCAGATGAAAATGGCTCTGTTCACATAGAACAGGACAGGTCCTTTTACCTGTCAAATATCCCCCAATACTTAAGGAATGGGAATTGTCTCTTTACCCATATCTTTACCCAGTGCCAATGAGATCTGAGAACAACCTCAGATCATGAATACTGATCAGATTCATCAGTTTAGAACTGAAGGATGGGGGCCAGCAGATGGCATGGTTTTTAAGGCTCTGGACTCCCACAGGGTTGACTGTGATCTGAGTCCCAGATGTGGCAGCTCGAAACACACGCTGAGCACATATGCATGTGTGCCGAAAATCCCAGGAGGAGAGTGGAGGAAAAGGAATTATGGCATGGCCAATGCCATGTGGGGGGTGGGGGTGATTTCCTATTTTCCTTACACCATCTTAAAGCAAAAACCTAAAAAGGAAAAAAAGAACTGAGGGATGAAAACAAAACACCTTTAAAAGAGGGTAGGGTTTGGATTTGGTGTTTATGAAAGGGGATGGAGAAACCCAACCAGGATTCCACAAAGAAGGATTGTAAAAGGAGGCTTTTACCCTTGAAATCATTTGTGATTTGTTGTGGTTTTTGCAGTGGATCTCTTGAGCCTGTCAGCTGCATGTGATGCCTTGGACCAGCACAACCTCAAGCAAAATGACCAGCCCATGGATATCCTGCAGATCATTAATTGTCTGACCACTATTTATGATCGCCTCGAGCAAGAGCACAACAATTTGGTCAACGTCCCTCTCTGCGTAGATATGTGTCTCAACTGGCTGTTGAATGTTTATGACACGTAAGTCTGCACTTTTTTTCCCAGGCTGTTGCAGGAGGCTAGGTTTCCAGAATGATCACTGTATAATTAGCATTACAAAGGGCCCCAGAAAAGGTGGACCTACTGCTATCCCTGTGATAATTTCTACTGGGTTTTTATGACTTGAAAAATATTTTGATAAGTTAGGAGATAAGAGCTAAAACTGTAGATTATTCTCAAATTAGGAAATAGATAAAACCCTGAGATAGTCACTTTGCAAATAGTAGAACGAGCTAATGTGCAGCCACTGGGCCTTTCCCTTTCTCGCCTATGCATGTTGAAAATCTATCCACTTTGGTGGTGGCTTCTCACTGATAGGAATGGCTGTGCCCCTGGAGATGGGGGTACCCCTGTCTCCAGATCAGAATTGTCATAAATGATCCGTAGGAGACTTTTGCAGAAGGTTATGAATTAATAACCCAAACAAAATGAAAAGGAGCCCCCAATGCAACAAATTCAGCTCCTCAAACCAAGGGTTTTTGTTTATTGCAGTTTTTAATAAGGTTTAACGAACTTTCAGTTTGACACTTCAATTTATCACTCTCTTAGAGTACAGTTTATTTCTCTTGGAGGGCACACAGGAGATAGCCCCACTTCTAATTTTTGTCTTGAACTTAATGAATACAATTAAGGGCGGGAGCAGAAGGAATTGATCTTGATTTTGACTGAATTCTTCTTAGACCTCAAAATTATTACATGCCTCATTTCACATGTCAACAACATATTCCCGTTGGGAAATCTGGGAAGGTTTCTGGAAAGGTGTTGCATATCAGCTACTTTTTTTTTTTTTTGCCTTTGCTGTAGACTTCTATACTACCTCCTTCATTAAAATATCATTTTTCTTTGTTATTTTGATAAGGTATTGCTTTTTAAATTTTAAGACCACCTGGTGGTTGAACTCATGATAATTTTTTATTTTATTCTGAAGTATAATTTCTGGTTTACATGTAATTGATGCGTATCTTTATAGGTTACAGTATGTTTTTTAAGACATGCATACAGTATATAATAATCAAGTATATATACATATTAATCTTCTTTAGTGCATTCCTGATAATTATCTACCAAGTCCTTGAACATGTTGGATGTTAATTGTGGATCACATTTACATTTGTTTTGACAAGGGTTTGTATTCAGGTCTTCCCTCAGATATATTTTGGCACCTGTTTCTTTGCAGATGACATGTGAATGGATTCTGAATATACAGCTTCCATTCTTCCTGCCTGAAAATTATTCAGGGACAATTTTAACTCCTTGAAGACCCACATTACTATATAGTTTATTTATTAAACTTTGTCTTGCCCTTTTTTTTTTTTAAAGCTTACTTACTTCTTCCATGAGAGAGAGATAGAAAGAAAGAAAGTGGAAGAGACATACACCCCCAACAGGGTCGGGTGTCATGCCATGATCTACCTCAAACCTCAGCCAGTCCAGATGAGACACAGGGAGACCCTGGGATGTGAACTTGGGACCTTCCCATGCCATTCCAGTTGCCTTACTGCTGTGCTGCCACTTGGCCCCAGATCTGCCCTCTCTAAAGAGAGAAGCTTTTTTAAAAAATCTTCTGGTTGGGACCAGCAGATGGCATAATGGTTACGTTGCTGGATTCCCACATAGTCAACCACGGTTCAAGTCCTAGACCTGGTGGCTTGAAACTCATGTGGAGCGCATATGCGTGGGTGCCCAGAATCCCAAGAGGAGAATGGAGAAGGGACTGAGACATGACCATCACCCCAGGGTGTGATATTTTGCTTTCTGTCTCTCTCTCTCTCTGTATCTCTGGTGAGCACACATGCCCTATAGCAAAAATCTCTCAAAAAAAAAAACCTTCCAGTTACAGAAATTTTCTTAATGCATTAATTAAGGTCCAGGGTTTCTCTCTGACTGAGGGATTTAATGAATTGTATATGTTATGAAAGTTGAGCACATTGTTCAAAAATAATCACAATTGGGACCAGCAGTTAGCGTAATGGCTATGTCACTGTATTCCCATGTAGTCGACCACGGTTCATGTCCCAGACCCGGTGGCTTAAAACTCACACTGGGCGCGTGTGCGGGCACGACCAAGATCCTGAGAGGAGAATGGAGGAGAAGAAATTGCGGCAAGCCCATCCCCCCTGGGGGGGTGATTTCTTGCTTTCTGTCTCTCTGTCTCTCTGTGTCTGTCTGGTGAGCACATGCGCCCTATAGCAAAAACCTCTCCAAAAAAAAAAAAAAAACACAATTTGGACTTATCCTTTGTGACTTTTTAAAGTACTAGATGAGAGAATTATTTTAAAATCCTCTTCTTTTTACGATAGCTAAGGTCCATTTGCTTTCTACAATAAAATAAAAAGTGGAGAAATTATTGGAAGACATTTGCTACAAATGGAAAAAATTTTAATTCTTATTTTTAATTTTTTCCCCATGGATAAAATATGCTTGTTTGGGACCAGCTGATGGCGTAATGGATACCTTGCTGGACTCCCACAGTCAACCATGGTTCAAGTCCCAGACCATGTAGCTTAAACTCACGTCGGGCACATGTACGTATGTGCCCAAAGTCCTGAGAGGAGAATGGAAGAGAAAGGATTGCAGCATGGCCATCCCCTTTGGGGGGTGATTTCTTGCTTTCTGTCTCTCTGGCGAGTACATGTGCCCTATAGCAAAAATCTCTCTCTAAAAAAAAAAAAAATGCTTGTTAATAATTTTGTTATGTGGAATACTTTATTTCAGCTTTTTATATATAAAGTGAAAGATCATACATATATATTAAAACATTGACAGGGCCAGCCTGTGGTGTGGTAAGGCGGCTGGATCCCACATGATGAATTGTGCAGTTCAAGTCTTGGATCCCATGGCTTTAGAAACACTCGTGTGTGTGTGTGTGTGTGTGTGTGTGTGTATGTGTGCGTGCATGCACACACGTTCCCAAAATCCTGGAAAAAAAGGAAGAAATGGAGGAGAAGGGGTTGCCGTGTGATCATCCCCATGGGGGGTGCTTTGTCACTTTCTTCCCATCTCTTTTCTCCACTCTTTCTGTGTCTCTCCAGTGAGCACATGGTCCCTCTGCAAAACTTAAAAAAAAAATTGACATGGTAAAATAAGTTTCTTATACATTTTTCTTTTAGAGCATGTATTTGAATCCTCTGTAATAGAGTATGTCATATTTTTCTTATGGAGGTAAACATTCATATTTTATATTTTGTGGCCCAAAGTGATGAATTTTCTCTCAGTAAGCAATAATCTGAAAAAAACCTGAGTGTTCCAGAGAGCAGAGCAGTTACTTGCTGTTTTTTTTTTTTTTTTTTTGGTTCTAGTAACCAAAGTAGGTCATTTTCTCCAGTAACCAAAAAAGCTTAGTGCATAGTAGTAATTCTTCCACTTAACGACTTAAACCAAGGTGTTTCTCCGTTGTTGAACACAAGGACATTTTCTCCTGTTTTGTGTAGAGCTACTCTTACAATTGAAGTAGTGCTTTTAAGAATTGAAAACTTGCTAAATATTCATTGTTTGAGTTAGTCTTATTCCCATTGCTTTCTAGGTTATCAGCCAAATTGATAATGAACTCCCAGCAGTGGCCAATAAAGTGACCATATTGAGAGCTTTTTTCTGAACTAGAAGTGTTGACCCTCTAGTAAAGTGTCAGTAACTGTTTTCTGGTTTGCTTCTTCATACTAGGGGACGAACAGGGAGGATCCGTGTCCTGTCTTTTAAAACTGGCATCATTTCTCTGTGTAAAGCACATTTGGAAGACAAGTACAGATGTAAGTCATGTATATTAACTCTGTATTCTTTTATTAATGTGGGCTAATTGCCTCAGTTGTAGACGGGAAATGACATACTGTTCTTATTTGACAGCAGGTTCCTCATGTAAGATGTAGAACTGCTTTTAGAGTGTCATAAAATGTGGTTTGTGCCAGTCCCTGTCAAACATTAAATTGCAGGTATTTAAATAGAGAATGAGGATTAACTTCTCCAGTCCAAGTATTATTTTACATTACATTGACTGTGTCTGGATAAAACACATGTTCCTAGAGGATAAAGTCTGATTTCCTAACCCGTTTGTATAAGTCAGAAAAATAAATGTGAAGGTTTAATCCCTGCACTTGCCTAGTCTTTGGGTTCTTATTTAAAGAATCCTATCTGGCATTCGTGTTCAAGAAACATTGTTTATTTTATAATCATCTTACTGCAAGTTGTACCGACACATCCAATTCCATGACGTGACTAACATTTTATTATTTGAGAGACAGATAGCTTGCTGTTTCTTAAAGGGTAAATAGCATCCCACAGAATTTCTTTTTGATTAGCCACTGAGTTCTTCTGCTTAAAAACTATAAATTCAGAGCCAGCAGATGGTGTGCAGGTGAAGGCGACTGGATCCCACATGGCCAACTTTTGCAGTTCAAGTACTGGAACCAGTGGCTTGAAAATCACACAAGCGTGTGCATGTATGTGCCCAAAATCCCAAGAAGAGAAAAGAGGAGAAGAGATTATGGAATGGCCATCTCTCCTGAGGGGGGTGATTTTTTCACTTTCCTTCTCTCACTGTCTCTGGCAAGCACACATACCCTATGGCAAAAATTCGGAAAAAAAATCCAAATTACTCATAAAAGCAGATGCTACAAAAGTGATGGCTTAGATGACCAAGTGGCCATACAGTCCCACTGTAAAGGGCTGTACTTGTTTTCCCCCTCTGAATGCTTGTAACAAATGTTTTTTTAGCAGGAATATTGAACAAAGCCAGCCTTTCTTACGTTTCCTCTTTTCCCCTAAGGCCTAGCCACACATGGGTGAGGAGATGTGCTGAGTTTAAGGACAGGCAGTAAATAAAAGAGATTGAATTCCTCCCAAGCCACCCTGTCCTAGTGCTCATTTCTCCTCCAAGAATAAGCCCCCAAAATACACAAGCCATATTAACTCTCACTTTTATGTAGTTTCCACTAGTTTCCTCATCCCAAGAACTAAAGAAAAATAAGTGAAACAGCTTTTGTTAACTATTTAAAAATTTAAGTGTGCCTATCAGAGAGATAGGCAAAAGGGTCTTACCTTCATTGCCATCTTACATATCTCACTAAAATATTGAATTTCTTAGTGTTTCAAGTAAACTTATGGGTTTGCAAACCTTTTTGGAATGTATGTTTTTGAGCAAGCACTAGGTAAATAGAAGGTTTGATTACATGAATTTTTATTTCTGAGAACAAAACATACGTCACAAGTATTTGGTATGTTTATTCATTCTGTTGGCCACGCATGAGGGGCATCTATTATCCATGACCTCATGAGTCCATAAGGAAGTCCCAATTTTGGTACGTTTTTAAATCTGATGTCCAAAAGGGATGGTACGTTGAACGGGTTACATGGCTCTTAATGCTAAGACATTTATTTTATGATGGTGGTTACACCCTACATACATAATATTTCCCAAAAGATTGGGTCCTGGCTTAGGACAAATTCAGGTGTCAAGGCTACGTGTAAACTCGCATTTCTTTGCCAAGCTGTGGTTTATGTAAAAGTTGTCACTCTTCGTATATACACAGTGATGATTAACTTGGTCCATAAAAATAATGAATGTTCAGATTAGCATAAATTAGAAGTAACCCCTTTCTGTGGAATATTGGCTACTCTTGAGACTTGGCACCGGCATTGAATTAGATGTTCCATTCTGCTAGCATCCACTTGATGCTGCGTTTTGATTGTTGCAATTTTCTTCCTTTTGCAGACCTTTTCAAGCAAGTGGCAAGTTCAACAGGATTTTGTGACCAGCGCAGATTGGGCCTCCTCCTGCATGATTCTATCCAAATACCAAGGCAGCTGGGTGAAGTTGCATCCTTTGGAGGCAGTAACATTGAACCGAGTGTGAGGAGCTGCTTCCAATTTGTAAGTTCTCTTTTTCTTAAGAATCATATTTATTTTTTATTTTAAAAATTATTTAAAATAAAACTCAAAACTTCAGTTTCTCATACTAGGTCTTTTGTAGGCAGTAGTTATAGCATTTGGGATATTTGAAACCCCTGTAGGAAGTGACTTTTAGGACTCTGGGTTTTGTGCGAGAAGAGTAAGGAGAAGTAAGGAGAGTAAGACTAAGGAGAAGAAGCCTTCAAGTGCAGCAGGGTCCATCTCCACTGTTACCTAAGTGCTGTGGTTCAGCAAGAGAGGAAATTAATTTCTAGTCACAGAAATCTTGTAAATAAGAAACTGATCTTTGTAGATGAGACTCTTGGTTTTTCTCTCCATTACTATTATTATAGCTTCCTTTTATTTTATCTTATTATTATTATTTTTATCTATATTCATTCACTATACATTATTACAGCATACAAAATGAGATTTTCCATCCAGAATACACTGTATATTGGCTCAGTCAAGCACATCAACATACATGTTATCGTCAACATATAATTTTCTATTTCTTGGTTCCTGTATATTTTGGTTATTTTTTTTTTCAATGGCTATTGGTAAATAGTTAAAAAAAATTTCTGTTGTAGCTTTAACATTCTCCTACTATCAAAAGGCCTTTATTTTAGTCCCTACAGCCTAATTATGAGGTCTGAGACTGCACTTCATGCTGTCTGTCACTGGTTCAACACTCTCTACCACTCGTGGCCATTGTTTTTGTTCTCCTGCACCATTGCTTTTACTCTATCCTCCTACCTTTTCCCTACCATTATCATTGGCCCAGAAATACTCTCTTCTCAAATACATGCATACTCCACTGATAGCCATTTGGTAAGGTAGGTCATTATTTTTACTCCAAAATAGAGATACAAGTAACTTTCACACAATGAATATTGATGGCCACAAATAATCTAGATTCCTTTTTTTGAAATCCAATTATAAAGCCACTTGCAACAACGTGAGTCATTTTCCCAATTGTTTTCCCTTTAGCCAAGTGTCAGTTACTTTTCAAGTTCTACTCAAGACACAAACATGACAAGAGATCTTCAACTAGCTAGGGTCTTGGACACTCACTGGCATGCCTGGCATGTCCAGGTCAACCAGAGTTCTGAACTTAGGCCTCCCATATGGCTCCAGCACTGCACAGCCACTGTGGCTAGGCCAGAGCTCTTTTTCTTATATGGGGTTTCTCAATCCATTCTAATCCCATTAATAATGGCTGAGATTTGCAAAATGAAACTAGCTATAGAGCTAACTGGGTTAGATCTGGTCTTTGATAACAGTAAATTGAAACTATAGATGGCTTCCTGGGCAGAATGCTGTGAATATTTAGATGTTTTAAGCAGTCTGAGAATTTATTTCATAGTTAATTGTGCAAATTGACTAAATGCAAGCATAACAAGCCCACTTATGTAGAGTGGGATATACTGTTTGGATTATTTTGCCAGAATTTTGGCAAACTAGCTGTAAGTATAAAACAGCTATGGAGAAATACATGTATTTTTCTAACTCAGATTCAGATCTCCCAAAATGTGAACAGATTATCACTATCTGCATTTTATTACGTGTTGTTACATTATTTTTACTCCAAAATAGAGATACAAGTAACAATGAATATTGATGGCCACAAATAATCGAGATTCCTGTTTTTTAATCCAATTATAAAGCCACTTGCAACGACGTGAGTCATTTTCCCAATTGTTTTCCCTTTAGCCAAGTGTCAGTTACTTTTCAAGTTCTACTCAAGACACAAACATGACAAGAGATCTTCAAAAAGTTCATGGAAAATGCATATTATAAAAAACTGTGTGGCTCTCGAGATTTTTTGCATCAGAATGAACCCATACTTGAATTTTGTTTTCCGTGAACTTTTTGAAATTCTCTTGCACAGACACATACGTGTGTATGCTGTGACTTGGGTTGAAGGTAAATATCAGAGCACAGAACTGTTGACAGCCGTCTCTCTTCAGTGATGGGTCCTGCTGCAGAGTAAGCCAGGCTATGTTAAGGGCCTGCTAGATCCCTTTGTATAGCCTGTCGGCCCACAATACTGACTCATCAGGCAGCCACTGCTGCCCTCACTGCAGCCTCTGGCCCACGCATTTGCTTGTTAAGATATCCAGCTGCTGAACAGGAGATCCACTTTCCATAGTGCTGTCCTCCTTGTCAAGATACTGGTCTGCTCTACCCCTACCCGTTGCATCCTTTTGCTGATTGCCCTGTTCTTCTATAACCTCCTGTCTCTTGTTGGGTCACTTCCTTGTAGCAATATTTTCTCAGTGCCAAAACTTTAGACTTGATCTTTTCTTGCAATTTTTTGTATTATTATTTAAAGTTTATTTATCTCTATGAGACAGAGAGAGAAGAGAAACAGGTACCCCAGTCGGGTCCTCACAAAATCACCCCCCCCCCCCCAGTCTCTGCTGGCTTGGATTATAGACACACACAGGTGCACATGGTATGCTCAGAGAGGTTCTGAGATTTGAACCTCAGACCTTTCCCATGTAGATCTAGTTGTATTACTGCTGTGCCACTACCTGGCCCCTGCGCATTTATTGAATGCCCCTGGCCAGCCAGTCTCTGAGCTCTTTGAAACATCTTTTGTGGGATTTCGGGGAAAATCAGTCAAGATGTGGACATTGGTACCAAGTAGCTTTTTGTTTTTTTTTGCTCTTTTTTATTTTATAGTTTTTCTTCTTTTAACAGTTATAATTAGGAAAAGTATAATAAACTACTATCCTTTTTTCACAATCCTTGCACTATTTCCAGGGCTTCTCATTACCTACATAAATTATTGCACTTTCCCTAACAAACTTCTATTCCACCTCTTGGCCCCTTCCTTTGATCATACTTCCTACATGCTGGTTTTAGAGAAAAGTATTCACCATATGGCACCTTCCTTCAAAATCTTCAGTTTTTCCCCATTGTCCACTGAATAAAGCCTGATTTCTCTTCTAACTCCCAGACTTTTCCTAATCTTGTTCTGTAACCACCCACAGCTTACTTCTGCCACCATGAAACAGCTTCTATCATGCTTATAAATAATATTATTGCTACCTCTACTAAGAAAGCGTTACCTTTGTTCCTGTGAATGGTCTCATTTTGTCCTTACCGATCCTTTGAGGACAGTAGAATAGGCAGGCTTTGGGCTTTTTGTTTTTATTGTTCTTTAAATGGATAAACAGTTTCTCTGTGTCCTTAAAGCCCCTCAGCTAGTGGGAAAGTTTGATTCCTAATGCAGAACTCATGCCTCTCCTCAACACACACATACACACACAGCTTCACCATCGCACTCCCAAGAATGTAGTTTCTGATACTTCAGCTCTAGGTATCCCAAGGTGAAACAACAAACCTTTCTCCTAGGGAGGAAAGGAGATACCATAACCAATAACCAAACAGATGACATAGGAGAGACAAGAATTGGGGGCAGAGGAGTGGGTTTAACATATTGGTGCATTAGATGTTTCTAGTAGGACATTGTGCACATTTTGTATGTAGGAGCCAGGTGAGGCTTACAAAGATTTGAGGAGCCTCTCAACTTTGGAGTAATTTGCAACCTGGTTGAATGGTTCCATTGTGAATATTTATTTCAGAATCCACGTCCTAACCCCGGGTGCTTTTCCTCAGCCAGGTGCTCTGGCAGTCACCTTGCCTTTCATTGTGTAACACACAGGAAAATACAATGTTTGCTGGAGGGAAAGATAACAGAAGTAAAAATGCCCTATGCCCTTTGTTTGAAGTGTGAGACCTTGGGAATGGGGCCAGGCTGGCTACTTTAGCAAGCTTGTGCTCCAAGGCAGCTGTTTATATCAGCCTAAGGAAACAGCAGTAAAGTGTGTGTATTTCCTACCAATGCATTCCTGGCATCGCAGAAGTTGACTTCAGGTGACAGTTCTTTTATTTCCTTTGTGAGTTCTTTTTTTTTTTAACTAACTGGGAAACTTATTTTTTTATTTTTTCTGCCCCCCGCCCCCCACAAGTTGGTACTGTTAGAAAAGTACTAAATCTTCTGATTCAGACAAAGCTCTGGTAGTAGCAGGAAGAGAGGTGTGTTTTCCTGTGCCACACTCTCTAGAGGATTTTGTAAAGTTTTCTTCGGTCTGTGTGCCTCCTCACTGACCACGTTGAAAGAGAAAAGGAAGACACTTACCCATTAGATCTAAATAAAAATGTTTGCCTATTTAACAATCAGTATAGGGCCAGTCCATGGCCTGGTGGTTAAGGTAGCCAGATCCCACATGGCCAACAGTACTGTTTGAATCCCAGTCCAAAGAACTGAAAAACACACCAGGCATGAGTGTGTGTACATGCCCCGAATTCCAACAGGATAGAAAAATGGAGAAGAGATTATGGTATGAACATACCCCATCAGTGACTACTTTCCCTCTCTCCCTCTCTGACAAGCACACAGGCCCTCTGTCAAAATTATAAATAAATAAAATAAAACCAAAAAATACCAGTATAGGTTCTTCAAGAAATTATTCATTAAGCCAGGAAGAAAGTCATTATCTGTGGATATTAACATATGTTATGGAAACAGCCCTATTGAGGAGTAGATTGATCTTTCTGACCTTAATAAGACCAAACCTGCCCTGGCAGTGAGTCACACAGACTGTTGGAAGGAACCTTGGAGAATGTCCATAACTCTCCTTTTTCAGGTGAGGAAACAGATGTCTAGAGCAACAGAATGAGTATATTCTACATTATGCGATTATATCATGTCATGACTGTAACTAGTTCAGGTACTAGACTGAGTAGTGTTAATGTGTTGATGTAATCCTATATGTAAATTTTAGATTGTAATAGACTGGCATGGATAAATGACTACTCCTGCCCCAACACATAGACACACACACACACAAATTTTTATTTAAAATGGTGTAATCCTAATTGTAGGTATTTATTTCCTTGTTTAGGTAGCAGAAATTTATACCTTTAAGTGACTCCAGAAAAAGAGTCATGTATCTGCAGATGGTATTTGG